GATTTCCACCTACCTGATGAGGATTTTGGACAACTAAAGCTCAAGCTATTGCGCTCGTCAGCTTCAGCCGTAGAACCCTTCGCACAGCGTCCCCTAGTGTACAACACACGGCAGCGCAGCAGGTGCCAGAGAGTGAGTGGAAGAATAAGTAATTGTGAAGTACGCTACTTGGAGAGTGAACTTTTTACTCCAGAACCCTTAACTACCTCTTCTCATGAGGATAGTTTACCACTTTGTCAGCCAGACCCCACTGACCAATCACAGACAGAAATACAGAAGGGCCTCAACGTTGTAAATGAAATAAAGACCATCTCTTCAGATCTGATGGACAGCAGACAGTTTTTCCAAACTGAAACAGACAAAGGAATAAGTAATGAGAAAAGAGTGAAATCTTCTGAATCTGAAAACATTAGTGAGCTTCACATAAACCAGATGCTAAAAGAATCACACATGCTCTCTGAGAACACCTCACTTTGCCCCGAGATACTGAATTTAAGTCCATCTCTGACCCCACAAATACAGAAAGGTCAAGATCCTCTTCTGCCATCTTTGGGAATGTCCCCTCACTTTTTGATTCCAGGTTCACCCATAGACCTCCGGTCACCTCTCTTTTCTTCGTCTGGTGTCCTTAGGTCTCCCTCTTCAGTCTCACTTAAGGGGTGTGTGTCTCCAGAATCAGTCTCAGCCAAAACATCAGGGAACATCAAAAATGGTTTCTTTACTAGAAGTGGAGATCAGGGAGGTTCTGAAACACAGAATCAAACTCAAATGAGTCAAGAAACAATGACAAAAGTTCAAAAAAATGTGAAACCAGGTACTCCATCCCACAACAACACTACACTGGAATATGAAAACTTAAACGGCCCAGAAAGGGAGTCCTCATGCATCTCGGAAAAGGAACTGGAACGTGAATGCGGTTTCGATACGGAAAGCAATCTTGAATGTGGAAATAAAATCAAGTGCACACCAGAAAATGAAGTTCAACTCCACAATATTCCTGAACCAGGGAGTTTTAAAAATCTTTCTGAGTCTGAAATCCAAACCCAGAACGATTTTGAAATGGAGATTCAAACCTATAAACGCCCTGAGCTCAGGTTAGAAATCCAAAGTAATGCCACAAATGTGAAACAGTTTGAATCTGGTAATGTATGTCAAACTCCTGTTGAGACAATCTCTTTGGACACTTCCACCAATCGGAGAACGGAAACAACGACAGTTTCCGGCAATAACAGAACTCAATCAGAGGAACGTAACACTGATGAATCCAACAATCGGACATTACATGAGGAAACCCCGACTGCCACATCATTCTCTGATGCAGCTGGCTGTTCTGCAGTCCTGCAAGAGATACACACTTTTAAGGTGTCAATAAATTATAAGAAATAATTTATTGATATGCAAAGCAATGATATGTACTTGATTGTCTAATTACCTGCAAATGTATGTGGGTGGTGCTTGTCTTTGTATTCAGGCACTGGAGGGCGGATGCGTGTTGGACTTGTGTTTGGTGCGATGGCCGTCGGAGGACTGGTGCATTTGTGTGGCAGGAGAATGGAGCGTTTGTCTTTGGGCTCAGATGAAGGGAGTTCAGCCGTGGAGTCTTTTACACACCTGGACATTTGCACAGGTAATCCAGTTTGCCACAGCATTTCATCATAAATCACAGCATAAATTAAAAGAGATGCATGGAAGACATGTGGCATGGAAGTTTAAAGTCATCATGATATCATAATTGATCATTCTTATTTTACAGAATGTTGCAGTGTTTATTATAAATTATTTATCTTTGCACATCGTTTTTTTAATTCATGTGCCTTCGTAATCTTTAATCAAAAACCTCAACCTCCTCTCCCCCTCGAAACGGCACATGCTCTCTTCATGACGTATGTCTTGGCAGAGGGTGGAACTAAATATCCTCCACAACTGACTGCAAATTGGCACTCAAATCTGCCTCCATAGCAACACCCAAATTCCTACGATCCAATCGATTACCGCGGACGAAACCCGCCTTACTTTTTTTTTTTTTTTCATTCCAGAAGCCATTTCACTTGGATACACATCACAATAGGGTGATGACTATCACAAAAGACTATCCCAACTTCTGTTTCATGCCAACTTTAAGGGGGTTGTTCACCCATGAATGAAAATTCTGTCATCATTTACTCACCCTCATGCCATTCCAAACCCGTATGGCTTTGGTTAATCTTTGGAACACAAATTAAGATATTATTCAATGAAACCTGCGTGGTTTCTTTCCCTCCATTGAAAGTTCAAATAACCAAAACTTATTGATCTAAAAGCTCCTAAAGGCATTGTAAAACTAATCCATATGAATTGAGTGGTTTAATCCAAATCTTGTGAAGAGATATGATGATGTTATATGATGCAGAGATTTAATTTCGGCTTTTATTCACATATAAACACACAGAGCATCACATATGGTAAACACGGAAGCTTATGCGTGCGTGCATCACATGCAAGCGTCTTACGCTAGAACAAGTCTTGTTGATTCTCGTGAAGCACACACGTTTGAGATTCCGTGTTTACCACATGTCATGTGATCTATGTATGTGTGTTTATCCTTGTTTAAGTGTAAATTAAAGTTTTTGTTACCTGGAATTTCAATGGAGGGACAGAAATCTGTTAGGTTACATTAAAAATATCTTAATTTGTGTTTTGAAGATTATGTCTTATGGGTTGAACAACATGAGGGTGAGTAAATGATGAAAGAATTTTCACTTGTGGGTGACTAACTCTTTATCACAATATATTTTAAAAATATGTCTACGTCCCTCTGCTTTGACTCCTGTGTTTGTATTTGTAGCCCGTCATGTCTTTGCAAGAGATTCCGGACTCTTCAGGCTTGCTTTGTGTGACTCTGGGTCACTTGGAAATCACAGAAGCAAGGTAATAAAAATTGCATAATATAAAATGGCAAAATTACCATTATGTGGACCAAACCTATGTTATTTTCGTCTCCCATCACCTCAATTGTTTTTTAATTCCTCTTTTGAAAACATTCTCACTGAACTCAAACCCTATGAAGACTGTGCTCAAAAACCAAGATGTGGTTTTGTGTTAGAAGAATTCAATAAACTTAAACGCTAAGCTTATTCACTCTGTGTTCTTGAGTGCAGAGTGCTCTGCTGTCCAAGTTTGGATGGGACGTTCTCTCAGAACGTGGTGTGCAAGGACACATTGCAAGCAGTGGTGGGTGTGTCTAACTGTCGGCTTGTGTGTTGCTCCACCCCTGGAGATCAACAAAGAGTCAATGTGTTAACAGTGACTCAAGAGGGAAGGTAACAAACCATCATGCGTATGAAACTTTTTTAATATATCATTCACTTGAAATATTTTAGTTAAAATATTCATTATTTACTTGTGTTTCAGGGTAGTGAACACTCTTCCCTTTGTCTCTGCTAAGCAGAACATTCGGACCCTTGCAGTTGTAGAGGGTGAAAAAGATGCTCTGATTGGTTGGACAGAATGTAGAACCCTCCTCATATGGTGATGAATTGGGCAGTATTGAGTCTTTTTTAGAAGTTTTTCCTAAAAAAAACTTTAAACGTTTTTTTAGGAAACTTTTTTAACTATCCATCCTGTACATTGAGATTTTTTTATTATTAACTTCTGATTAAATTATTTTCTGATATGGTACTAACGGCTGGGTTAAATTTTGAGTCTGTAGATGACTTAGTACTTCTTATATCTTGTTTTGTTAGTATTGTAATTTTATAATTGATTATCTATTTTGTCATAACTGTGTATTTCAGGAGCATAAATTCAGGCCAGCTGCTTCAGACTATAAACCTGGAAAAGACTTTAACCATGACAAACTGCATGAAGGGATATTCTTACAGAGTAAGTTAGTGTATTGTTCTTGTGATACTAGAATGACAATGTGTCAGTAATGACCTTGTGCTTTCATTCCTGCAGGGTGTGCTGTGTGCATTGCTTCAAAATGCAGGAAATGTGTGCGATGAAAAGAGTAACGCGTCCCTTTTTACTCTGATTGCAACAAATCCTCTCACTGGCAAACACATCACACTGACCTCTATAAACTATCCTGATCAACACAAACAGCAGTAAGACTTGAAGCGATAAATGTTGTGATATTAGTATTCAATGTTAACAGTACAGTTGAATCAATATTACTCTCTTTCTCTAGGTTAATAGATGGTGATGTCTTGGGCTCTGGGCTTGTTGGCGTTTTTCAGTCTGGTCATCTTGCTGTTTGGGATCTCAGAGGAAGCGTGGCTAAAGTTGTTGTTGTACTGGATGAGTTGTGTCGACTAGCTCGATGGGCAGGGCCAAACACTCTGCTGACGGGATATCTAAATGGGGATGTTAGTGTGTTTCATTATAAATCTACATAAACAGATCCCACTTTAAGTACTCGTTAAATGAAAAAAAAAAAGAAGTGTTATTTAACACCATTGTTAAACAATACAAAATCTTACACTGTTAAAATCATTAAAAGAATTCATCAAGATTACACAAGATAGATTTGTAAAATTTGTGTTTGTGTTTAGTTGTTAAATTTTAATACTGGCACAGCTATTTGTTAGTTAATATACGCATAACCAGAGAAATATTTGTACTTTTTGGATGTGATATGTAAAAATATGTTTAACAAAATAAAATATGATTCTGGGAATTTTCTGTGAAAGATTAAAAACTCTTAATGTTTTAAGGTTTTTAAGGAGAGTGTTGAACTAAATTATTGTTCAAAAAAAAAAAAAGTATGAATGCCGATATCAACGCAACATAAAAAGAACACAAAAAGAAAAGGTCACAACATTGCTTTTATGGTTGACGCTCTCCATTGATATTTGATGTTGTAGAATATTCTTTGAAATCTTATTTGTTTTACATCAAAATGTACACACACATATATATATATATATATATATATATATATATATATATATATATATGTAATACGAAAAACTGTTTAGGATGTTACGTGAAAAACAGTGTGTCGCGCATGCGCATTCGCATTCTCGTGCATTGTGGGAGCGGATTGAGAAACATGGCGGCGCGCATCACTGCCCGGTGTGTCCGATCCCTTAACCAGCGTTCCGTGTATTTTAACCGTGTAAATACTACAGCGACATTCACAGCAGCTCCGTTCACTCATGGCCGAACATTTTCACATCTGACTAATGGACACAAGCCTTCGCTGGCGCAGGTGTGTGTGTGTTAGTGATTGACTGATGACATCCAATGACCTACCCGTGTCTTTAGTTATAATGACTTCAACATGATGGACAAACAGCCTCTGTTCACTTAATTTCAGTTTATGTACGGGGTGCAGCAACGGAAAAGGTTTGAATTAAAAAATTAGCTGAATGTAGTCAACGACAATGTTTCTAATTTAATGTGTTAAACTTATCTTATCATCTTTATGTGGCATGACAGATACTTAAACTTTTAAATTATCTCTTTTTTTTTCTGTAATCAGTTATGATTTCTAGTTATAATGGTTTATATAATATGCATGCATTGCAATATTGCACGTATATCGTTATGAATGTTTAAAAGTAAAAAAAAATTGTGTATAGTATATTGGCAGCAATTTTCTTTTATTCATTATTTTACATTGATATTCTGTTATATATGGTTTACTTATTATCTTTCATAATACTCATATTTCACCAGTTATCATTGAACTGAACAGTTCTGTTCAGTGTTGTTATTGTAAACTAAAACTGTCAAACTTTTCAATAATTGAAATAAAATATAATATAAATAATGGGCCTAGATGAAAAACTAAATCTTAAGAAACTTCAATACAAAATTACCTTGGCAACAAGCTGTTGAAGTAATAACAAAGTTTGAAATAAAAACAAAGCTAAAAGATAGAAAATTTAAAATGTCAATAGCACATAACAAAAATATAAAAGCAAATTCAAAACATTAATACCACAATCATATCTAAATAATATTCAAACAAAACTGCTCCAGTTGTCTGTTATTAATATTTTTAGTTTAAATGACACTTTCTAACATGTTTTGTTTTCTTTTGCAGATCTCTGGCGGTTCATTTCAGGTCTTTCAGTGGAGGCAGTACGGTGACTTGCCCCCATTGAGCCTAGAGACTATCCGTGACCGTGTCCTCTACGTCCTGAAGCTCTATGACAAGATCAACCCTGAGAGGGTAAATACACCATCAGTTTGATCAGATGGACAACATATTAGTCTGAAATATTTCAAATTAGCTTCAAATATATTGCACTCTACAGATTAATTGTTTGATGATCAAATCTTTATAGCTTCAGGCTACGTCCCACTTCATGAAGGATTTGGGATTGGACAGTTTAGACCAGGTGGAGATCATCATGGCTATGGAAGATGAATTTGGTTTGTACTTGCATTTACATGACATTAGATTATAAATAATTGTATTACATTTAACAGATCAGTTCTCCCTAGTAGCACATTTTGACCATTGTTTTGTATTTGTGCATTCTTTGAATGTATGCATTGTTCTTGTAGGTTTTATAGAATCTGATGCTTGCAATTAAATGTGCAATGCATATGGATGCGTGTTTACCAAGCTGATACAGTGTTTTCTCACGTGTTCAGGTTTTGAGATCCCTGATACCGAGGCAGAGAAGTTGATGACACCACATGAGATTGTTCAGTACATCGCAGACAAGAAGGATGTCTATGAATGAGCATGCATATTCATTGTGAGTTTAGTTACTATTCACAAATTTACTTCAGGTGGAGATTATGCTTATGATGAATGTTTATTTGTTCTTTTTCATCCAGATAAAAATCATCCTATCAGATGACAGAGACCATGGAGGTTTTGTCATGAACTGTTTGTTTCTGCTGTTCTTCATTCTTTATTCTTTTTGTATTTAGATAAATGTTTAAATCTGTGTTCATAATTTTGTCTGTAGCCGCTTGTGATCTGCAGCATTCTGTGCTAGATGCATGCGCAAGCTCCTCATTCATACAATAAGAGCTTGGAGATAATGTCAATAATTCATATAAATACTACAATAATAAAGACTTTAAATCACTTTAAAGGACCTTATTTATGTCTTTGGGTTCAGATGCACGTTGTGAATCTTTGCCAGTATGATTGGTTCGCTCATTAATAGGTTAGTTAATTTTGTTTTTGACAAGATTCTTTGTTTTATGAAATATAAACCATGTAATAACAAAATCACAAAGTATTTATAAGATTCAGTATCAATATGAAGTACACCACTGTTCAAAAGTTTGGGGTTGATAAGAATTGTTAATGCTTTTGAAAGAATTCTCTTATTCTCACCCACCATTTATTTGATTAAAATGTCATTTATTCCTGTGATCAAAGCTGAATTTTCAGCATCATTACAGTCTCTTCAGTGTCACATGATCCTTCAGAAATCATTCTAATATGCTGCTTTGCTGCTGTTATTATCTATATTGAAAACAGTTCAGCTGCTTAATATTTTTTTCAGGATTCTTTGATGAACATGAAATTCAAAAGAACTTTTTTTGAAATAGAAATCTTTTGTAAGATTATAAATGTCTACTTTATCGTTTGATCAATTCAATGAATCCTTGTTGAATAATAAAAGTTTTTAATTTCCTTCAACACAGAAAAAAATCCTACTCACCCCAAACCTTTGAATGGTAATGTATAAAACATGAAACTGCAAGAGTTCACATTTATATTTATATTAGGAGTGGTTGTGTTTGTTATGTTACAGCACCACCTACTGGAAATGCTTACCAAGTCTAAAAATGTACCCGAAGACTTTTCCAGAGTTGGAGCCAAGAGTTTAAACGGGTTATATTAGGAAACATTTCGTGTCCAGTACTTAATCTTCACCCCCCTGAAGTAAATGCTAATAAAACTAATACAATCTTCCACTATAACCTTTAACACAGCCTGAATCATATCAAGCTATTAACATTTATTGCAGGGTGGCTTAAAATATTGATACTTTCACATTCTTGTTCACATATGCACATGAATTCCTTTAATGCCATTTCTAAAGTTTCTGTATTTCAGGATTTGCTCTTGAACATAAAAGGATTAATGTGTCTGTCTCCTTGTATTTCCTTCAGAATATTAAATATTACACATAATAGTCAAAATAGTCTGCTTGAGGAGCAATATGCAGAGAACACAAATTCAGTGAGAACTAATCTTTATCAGTTGTAGGGTTCATTCAGACTTGGGGTTAACATTTAACCTTCGACTTAAGAAATGAAAGAAACAAGAACTTTAGTTGATGTTAAAGTTAAAAAGGTTTGGATTTAAAAGACACTCCTATCTTCCACTTATGAACTTAAATAAGCCCACGTTTCCTGTTCAGGTGTAATAAACCCTTCTCCCCCCTCTGTGTTTATGTCAGTGGATGTCTGTGAACGTAGGCCTACCTCTCACTGTGATGATGAGAAGCCAAGGAGGGACGCTTCAGGCATTTCCTGCTTTTTTGAGTGTCAGAATTTCTGTGCATTTGGGAATGGCTAAGCAAAGGTTTAAATGCAATGAAGTTAGAGTTTGAAAGTTTTATTTTGTTTTAGTTTTCACTTGGCTTCACAAATTTTGTTACTGAAAACTGATGTGGACTTGTGTTTAAAACCTGAGCTGTCTATAGTTACCCTCACACAAAGATATTGTGGTAATACTATGGTATTCCTTAGTACTTTTTTTAGGTGCATTCAATCCCTAAAAACTGCCGTCTAAATAGACAAACAGCCACTGACTCAACATTGACAATAAATGATCCTCTGAATGACCTTATTTCTTAATCTATTTTCTAGTTTGAATTGACAGCACAAGCTCGTCAGGGGAGCGAAAACAAACACTCTCTCTGTTTTCTCTCACACAAACATACACAACCTGGGTGATTAACCTAATCTTAAAATCTCCTCTTTCTGTCCCCTTAACTTTTAACCACTTCCGTCCCATTTTCCCTTAAAAAGATGCCTAATCGTAATCATATGTTTGCACGATGCCTTTTTCTACACCCTGCATAGGCCGAGCACGCGCGCTCACAGAAACGCACGCGCGCGCTTCATTAAAGCGAGCTCAGCTGCAGTCAGTTCTATTCAAGTTTCTCCGGTGGACTGAAGGATGAACTTGGCTCTTCTCTATAAAGGTCTTTTTGAAGATTGAAAACTGCTATTCATCCACGTTACACATACTTTTCGACTAGTTTAAGTATTGCCTACGTCGTATTTTAGAACAGCAAAATATTCTTTATGGAATTAACTGTGTGGACGGATTCCTTCCTGGAATGTTTTGGCTCACAAAATGTTTCGTTTTGTCTATGTTTTGTTATTTATTTTCGCTCCAGGTAAGAATATAATTTCATTTATAGACGAGGAGATATTTAAATGCTAGACATATTTAGCCTAACTTATGTTTAAAATGTATCAATTAGCAATATTTTATATTCTTTAAAAAAACTATTTTATATATTATATCCCTACGAAAAATGTACCATGGTAACCTTCAAATTCACTATAGTAGCCTACTGAACCATCTATAGTGCTAGAATCAGATGTTAATACTGTGACTTTGAAATATGGTGCTGAAATTCATGGCCTAACTTTTAAATAAAAACATGTAATGCTAAATTATTGAAGATGATAATGATGTTTCTCTGTAGGTAACACCTTGTTAAACTTGAGGCAAGACTGTGGCGGTAAAATTCTTGGAGAGAGGAGCGGCTCAATCCGGTACTCTTTACACCCAGACAGCCTTTTATTTAACAGAATAACCAACGAAAGCACAGAAAAACTGTCGGATGTTTCCTGCACTTGGATTATTGATGCACATAAAAACCAAACTGTTTGGATAGATGTCATTTCTGTTGGGAAAGGTGCTATTGGGATTCGGTTTGGAAATGGGGATACACTGATTTATGAAAAAGAGGAGCGGGCGTTATTCTCTGGCACTGGGAGAACCATCATTGAATGGAGTTTGAGAAGGACTGACAAACCATTTGCCACATTACATCTGAGTAAGTGTAATGAAGTCACTTACACAGTATGATGATGTTTTTAGACATGGTAGCCCACTTAAATATGTTTTCTGGACACATATCATGCCAATTCCAAGTATCAAAAGTTTGTACCTGTACATGTTATTCTACCATAGATTGCCATGTAAATACCATAGTACATGAATTCCATGGTAAATTTAAAAGTACCATAGTATTACCATCACTATACCATGATACCGCAACAGTACTTTTTTGTAAGGACATGGTACAGTAACTTTTTGGTAAGGGGTACCACGGTATGTCCAAAAAACTATGGAAGGACCATGATACTTTTTGTACACATATAATCTGCTAATCTTGTAAACACATCAGAAAAGAAACTTAAGTCATATAAGAAATATAAGTTTCTTATATGCTGATGTATCTTGTCAGGGTTCATCAATAAAATACTATCATTCAAAAAAATTGGGGTCAGCCAGATTATTATTTTTTTAGAGAAATGAATACATGTATTCAGCAAGGATGCATTCATTTATCAAAAGTCACAGTAACGTTTCAATTAATTTCGAATAACTGCTGTTTCTTTTAAACCTTTTACTCATCAAATAATTCTGAAAAATATCATTGTTTTCACAAAAATATTAAGCAGCCTCACCTGTTTTCAACATTGATAATATAATACAAAACATTTCTTGAGCACCGATCAGCATTAAAATAATTTCTGGAGGATCATGTGACACAGTAGTGTATGTGAAAAGTATAAAAAAAATACCCAGTGAGAAGGTCGTGGTTTGTTTGTTTATTTCCCTTAATTTTAGAATCTTGTGTCTTGAATAATCTCATAATTCCTGTTTCCATTCATCTCTGTGTTATTTTTTTCTCAGGATGGAACACGTCAGAGATCAGTCACACTCTTTCTTTGATTCCTTACACCCACTTTGACGCCGACCCAGTGTCTCCCTCTCCAAGTGGCTCAAATGATGTAACCTACACCCCAGACATTCCAGTGAGCAGCAATGCAGCCCCCAAAACACACACTCTCAGGGGCGAGAATATACGGCAGGGCGGAGGTGTGTCTGACCTGGCCGATAAGCACAGACCCCTCTTTCCGCAGGAAATCACCAACAATGGACAGGAAACGGCTGGACCCTGGATCTCCGACCTCACACTCGCTGGCACACATTCTTATTTTGATACGCACACCAACTCTGCCCTTGACACACACATGAACACGCTCATCGGGTCGTCCCATGAACCTTCTTTGGCTCCCACTGAAATACAATCACCATTGCTGTCTGTCCAAACTACAGCCACAGAGGCAACTGATGTTGCGACAAAAACAAGTGCACTTTTAGCCACCACTGATGTTGCACACACTGAATTGCATAGAGGAAGTTCACACTCACTGCATACATATACACATGCATTTACCACAATTCAGTCCAAAATGGCTAAAAGAGGTCATCCAAGTTCAATGTTTCTGACTTCCAGCTTTATTACAGCAAGTCCACGAAACATTCAGCCATTCGACAAAACTTCTAAACATAAAGACTTCCTTAGTGACACTGTTAACAAGGCTAAAGCTACAACAGTGACGGTCCCAAAAAAGGATGTGTTTACAATATCAGAGAACGTTGGAACGAGTCAATTTCATGCAACTTTTTGGAGTTCGAACACAGTCACAGATGACGACCAGCCTAATGCATCGGAAATGGACAGGACAGATCGCTCTC